GTAACCAGGTAACTTTTTTGTTTCTGATCAATACTGATTTTGACCTGCTATTATATGAATAATATACACTTCTATGATTTATTTTTAAGTGTAATATATGATAAGTATTAGAAAAGAATTGGCTATGTGATACTAATCAGAGAACCACAGTCAATGACAATAGATATGAGAACAACTGACCCGTTTATTATCAACCAATGAGTGAAACTTTAAACAGCGGTGGAGGGTCTGAGAGGCAAAATGTATTGTGATACTCGCCTTTTCACCGATACTAGATCTGTGTTCAGTTGGGGACATCCCTAAATTTAGACGTTAACTAACTGCTTTTAATTTGGGCTTTGCAAAATAAGAAAATAGAAGGGGAACAAACTGGCAGAGAAAAAAAATAAAACTGAATAAAGCTTAAACAGAAAATGGGCTGTACTCTGTTTTAAAGCCAAGACTTTGAGAACAATTAAAATCAAAATAAATACAAAGTTAAGCCTGAAATTACTTTAAATTAAGCAAAAGGTTTGTTTCTAATAGGATATAAAACATTAAATCTTCTCAAGATAACAAAAAGAATATTAAAGTTAGAAAAGAAAAAAATTAAGTTTTCTTTTAATACAATTTATGAAAAAAATCTTTCATAAATCTTATTCTTCTCATTGATCAAAGATTCTCTTTATTCCAACAATCATATCCTGCTTATAACTACTAATCAGCGTTTTGCATATTTCCATATATCCCAAGTCTTTGCCGTAGGAAGCCCCCCCATCCATCACCCTAATCTTTAGCTGCATTCAGATTTCCATCGGTTTCTCTCTAAGGATCACTACAAAACACTGAAATTACTTCAACCAGAAGAAACAGGAGAACCTCAAACTAAATCTGTCTTAACTGTTATTCCAGATTTCCAACCATCTGAACCTGTTGATTTGTCCAGTTATGGTGAAAGGACAGTCATCCTATTTTCTCTCTAGTTGCATCACTAAATAACTCAGTGGCAAAGGGTCAAAATCCATTAGTTTGGCTCCAGGTTTGTCCAAATGACAGCACTGTTTTTAATGTTTAGTGTTTTTTCAGCTCAGCCATGCAGAGTTAATGTGTGTAGCCAGTTCAATGAAATAATAATTACTTTTTCACTGTTTCCTCACATGCACGGTCTGCAAACCTGTATTCTAAACCAATCAAATATTTCCATCTGTGTCATGTGACCAGCTCTGTTCCGTGTTAAGAGCAGCAGTATTTTTCGATACTTAAGAATACGCCACGATACGATTCGATTCGATTAATTGGTTCATTTTTTTTAACACCTTACAGGCTAGACAATGTTTTAAATTTAAAATACATCAAAGCTGTAATATCGTTATGCATTTTTTTTTTTTTGAGAAACTGCAGAAAATAACAGAAGTAGAAAAGTTGCACTCCACTTTCCTATTAAAGCCTCATTCACCGAAAAATAATAATATCCCTGCGTTATGGATTCTGAAAGGCCTTGCATAAAAAAATGCAATACTGCACAATATCAGTGCAATGAGTGCAATGCAATACCTCGGCTCCAGACGTCCCCGCCCCCTCCGCAGACGCTCCGCTGCACCTCTCCTAAATTGTAGCTGACCGCAGACAGGAGGCCGCCCTGGTTTGTTTTTATGACCGAAATTGCGGAAAACAACTCGTGAAGTTTGACCCACTAGAAGAGCGAGGTGCGCGAGAACGCTGAGACCCTTTTTCCACCTGGCTCTCCGCTCTTTTTGGCCCTCATGTCCATCCGTCGTCGGACTAAACTCGCCCCCACTTCTTCCTCACCGCCTCGGCCGTATCTAGACCCACAGCGTGTAGCACAGACCACGCTTCAATATTGAGCATAAATAAAAAATGTCTATGTCAAGTTTACTGCAACAAACTGCTGTAAGAGTAGAACCAGGAAGCGAGGTAGGAGGGCAAAATAGGTTTAGCGCCACCGCAGCATGGGAGGGAGAATTACGCCCAGGAGCAAATGGATAAAAATAGACCGGAGGAAAAAAAAAAAACAAGAATCGATTCTCTTGCGGACGTGTCGATGCATCGGATCGTCGGCTGTTGGATCGATGCATCGAT